CGTCCAGGAAACACACAGCCAGGCAGACGAGCTCCAAGGCAGCTCCCATGCCAGAGGACGAAGAAAACACATCCACTCAGTCACGGTCAGAGAAACAGGACCACACTGGAAAACAGGCCGATCTCCAACATCTAATCATCAATCATCTTTCAAGATCATCTTCATTTAGCTCTTGGCCTTGCCCCCCTTCAGCACACCAATGAATTTTCACCCACCTCCCTCTCACTCTCAGGCCCAATCCCAAACTGCTCCCTAAGCAATAACCCTTAACTATTAAGTGTCACTACCAGTGATGTCACACTCGCAGCTGTGGAAGGCACCTTGATTAAAGGTGGGGGGGTATAAACGAGAATGGGACGGCTTCTTCACTCCAATGGAAAAGGAACAAATTTGTTTCTATGGCAACCCAGTGATGGCCCATGTGTAGGCGTAGCTCTTTGGTGCAGTTTAACAACATTTGGCATTTACCCCCTTCTTAAAGCAAATGTATACAGTCAAAATTATTTCAAAGAGGACCTTCCATTTTGGAAATAATGTTTTTTTTCATAAACTAATTTGTGATTTCCTGTCAGTGTGACGAAGATGCAGCAAATAGCGAAGCATTACATTTGGTGGAATGTGTTTCCTCCGCCATCAGGCGACTGTTACACCTGCTGCCCAATTCCAGTGAGCCTGCAACGGACGCAGACTCGCTATTAAAAGGCTGATCGGTCCACTGGCCCTTCCCACTATATGATTTGGGATGGCACTTAATGTGCTGGAGCCACAATATCTGCTTTTATCTTCTTGAACCCCAGTTGGCCTCGGCAGACGGCCGTTCACACTGAGCCCGGTTCTGCTGGAGGTTTTTTCCTGTTAAAAGGGGGTTTTCCTCTCAACTCTCACTACATGCATGTTTAGTGTGAGGGATTGCAGAAAGTCAATAAGTCGAAGCAGTCAGCTGGTTTTCCTTTGAAAACTTTTGACCAATCCGACTGCATGACCTAGTTGGGTGGTCACTGTGGAGTGGCTTGGGATGACAGAAGTTGTGGATTGGTGAAGTATATATATAAACTGAATTAAACAGTATAAAACTTTTCTATTTGCAGCTTTTCTCATGTATATGAGAAAAAGTATATATATTTATATATATATATATATATATATGTATCATTTTTCCTGACTGTTTGACTTGGTGTTTTGAAGCAGATAAATCTCTAAAAATGTTGGCCTTAAGCCACTTTAAAGCTAATTTTTTAGTTATTCTCAGGGTTGTTGTCCATTTTGAAGCCTTATCGGCGTTCATGCTTCAAGTTACTGTTACTTTGATATTTATAGACATGGCATAGTATTTCTGACATGGCATAACATATATTTTGTTAAAAGCACCAGTCCCTCCTACAGAGAAGCATCCCCACTGTCAGGATTCCTGTTTGTGTGTTAGTGCGAGTTGTGCATCTCTACTATAGAGGATCTTTGTGGAGAACAGGGGTAGCATACACAGGTGAAAGTAATCTTTATAATCATAGTGCTGGGCTTAAAAGAGCACTAGAGCCTTCATTCAGTGCTGGTTTCTTGTGTATTGAAGATGTTAGTTGCTTCCTATTCTCTTGCTTTCCTCGAGTATTATTACTGACATTTATTGGTTCTGTTTGGTTTTTAGTATTTTTGGATTTTGGATTTTGGATTTTTGCCTCTGTTTCCCTTGAACTTACATTAAACCATCCAAACTAATCCGTGCCTACTCCTCTCTGCATTTGGGTCCTTAAAACCTCCAACAAACCTGACACCCACATCATGATACTGCTATACCCATAGCTAACAAATGGACTAGTGTGTTCTCAGTGTTGTAAACTTCCTGTTTCCCCTCCCAAACCAATAGAACTTAGTCATTATGGCAAAACACTTTTTTGTTTTCATCTCACCACAGTACATGGCATGTGGCCTTAGAGCCCATGACTACAGGACCTTTTCCACAGTTGATAATGACACTCTAATTAGCTTAACCCCTAGAACCCTACGGACCCACCGGTGGGTCCAGCTGCTACGTGACCTCGTAATTTTAACAAACCCCCAGTATTGATGTAAAAAACATATTTGGCACAGTTTGGTGACATTTTTGGATAATTGTGCCAAAATGGCCTCTCCGTCTAAGAAATTTCTCACTAATACCATTCTAAAATAAATATGATTCATCTGATTGAGTCCAAATTTGGTATATTTTTACACAACATTTAGATTTAAAAGTCTGTACTACTTTTTTGTGCTATAAATAATATTTTGGTAGTGTTTTGCAATGTTTATTTCAAAGAAAATTTTGGCGAGGTTCAAAAGATGCAAAATATTTTGTATTTTGTCCCTAATATTTCAGGCAGGGTTAAAGCTACAATGGTGCTGACACCAGAAAACCATTCTATGACATCTTACCTTTACAGACGTACCAAAAGTTTCTTCTTAAATCTAATAGCTGTGAGGCTATAAGTGATTTACTTTTGTGTGTTTTTGTCAGGCAGAAATTGATTTATACCCCCTGAGGGTGTAAGAGGTTAAGCAAGCATCTTTACAAGGTATTTTACCTTCTAAATGAGTTATATCAAACGTTTTTGCATTACACAGTGTTTATCTCTGGGACACATCAATCCTTTCTGAACAGCTTGATTGCTGATTATTCCCATACTGTTCACATTTGGGTGTCAGTGTTGAACAGAGGAACTCTGCATCTCTTCAGACATCTGGAAGTGATATCTAACGATTAACTAGATTTGTAAGCCCCACATTCTTTTTTAAGTCACTCGAGTCAAAAAGCAGCACCATTTCTGCTATTTGCATGGTATATAATGGTAATTGGCAATAATATCAAAGAAAATCCACAAAATTTTTTTTTTAAAAGAGAGCTCTATGGTCTATGTTTACACTAACACTTGTGAATGCATTTGTAGCTGAAAATCTGCAATCATAAATGCTGGAGAAAGCTTTCCCCTTGGCATCACAGAAAACAACCAGGGTATGCTTTTTCTTGGTAAGTACATGCTGGGTCTGAATAAACAGGAAGGCAGAAGCAAAATGGGTGCTTGGTCACTTTATTTCTTTAACAACTATTTTAAACTCTAAAGCAATGTGAAGATGGAACCTGCATAAGCACAAGCCATCTTGTTTCATCCTTAAACTGGAAAACCGTCTCATTGAATAACACTATCAGTATTTCCTGCTTTATAATTACTTGCTTTATGCATTGCAAAATCATTGAAAACAATAAACCATTTGACATTTTCTCTGGATTCTTTAAGCAAAGTGAATGAATATTAAAAACATTGTTTTGAATGTCTATACTTCCCTCTAGTGGAAGAATAGTTTAATAACACATTTGTTTCCCAGGTTCTGGATTGTTAACGTTACAATAGGATAACAGTAGGACAAACTGCTGATTATCTCTATGGTTTAATGTTTTTATAACCATATATATGCAACTACACTCCATTCCAAAGAGAAATTAAGGGAATATATTAACATAACATGCACATTTTTGGACAGTTGGAGAATCTCCCAACTGCATGCAGAAAGAGCCCAGGAAGGTATTAGAGGGTCTATTAGATAAATCCTCCACACAAAATGCATCTATAACAAACTTCCATTTCAATTAATTTTGAAATACTCAAAATCAGAGTCTAAGTGATTAAGGTTTCATTGGAAAAACAAAAACAGAAACACAAGAAGTTACCATTTTTCATTTTCCATATGTATTAAATGTATTCAGGGGGAGATGGGGTGTAGATTTTTACAAAGCCTAGTATTGTCAATAAAAAGGCGGCAAGGTTAATTTCAATTTTGGAAGTAGGAGACTAAATTGTGAAGAAGAGAACAACTATTTTATACTTTTGTATAGCTTTTTCATAATCAATATATGTTATATTTTTAATTTGAGCCCTGACCACACCTAATAAATATTTTAAATCTTTAATGTAGTTTTAATTTCTTTAGTAATCAAAGCTCGCCAGTAAAGTACAAATCAAAAAGTGGAACAAAAAAAGTGATTATTTTTCTAACCCAATTTTTTCAGCTATGGATTTGCAGTTCATTTAAAATAACATATTATCTTGTTTAAAACCAATACATATGAAAGTCTTAATGCAATAAGTTGGAAAAAAATTTTTTTAAATGTCGTTTAGTGGCAGGGGAGGAGCTAGATGGGGGACCAGGGGTGGCCATGGCCACCATTAACCACTCATCGGCCACCTATGCTCTTTTCAGAACTAGATTTTGTGTTTTTTGGGGTAAAGAGAAAATGATGTGTCTCTGCAAGTCATCTAGGGGTCTTCAGTTAAATCAAAGATAAATAACAATTTTAATAACAACTTAGCAAATAATAAATGTATGTAGATATTAATGCTTGTATATATCCATTTTATGCTGAATGTTTATTGATACAAGTAGGTAAGTACCGTAATGATGATGGAATAAATTTACGCCCCAGGACTCAAAACTGAGTTTTATCCACTATACCTTTTATCTAGAAACAACGGATGTTTAAATATACATCTATTTGTTAGCAAAGGTTGTAGGAAAGTATAGTTAGTCTTTATTTAAAAAATATGGATGTTTTGCTTGTTAATTTTCCTGTTGGAACCAGAGGCGTAGCCAGAAATGTTTTAATAAGGGTGGCCAGGCAATAACCAATGTAAACTGAGGGTGCCGAATGTTGATAGGCACCAGAACCTCAGAGCCTATCTACAACAGGAAAATGAACAGGCACAACATCCATATTTTCTAAATAAAGACTAACTATACTTTTCTACAACTTCTGCTGACAAATATACACATAAATATCAATAAATATAATATAAACATTTGTGCTTTCTAGATAAAAGGTATAGTGGATACAATTCTTTGAGGTTTGAGTTTTGGGCGAAGGTCTTTTCTAATGTCATTACCTACCTACTTTTATCAATAATTATTCCGCATAAAATTGATATTTACAAGTACTAATATCAACATACATTGATTATTTAATGCATTTTATTAAAATAACTATTTATCTATAATTTTACTGAAGACTAGATGACTTGCAGAGACACAATTTTCACTCTACCTCATATAACACAAAATCTAGTTCTGAAAAAAGCAGCAATTCTGTACTTATCAACTTTAATGTTAGTATACTGATGTGTATAATTAACCACAGAGTCGTTGTTGTCAAGTAATTGTTAATATATGAAAAACTAGTAAGTAATATATGAAAAATTTCAATGTTTTGAATATTCCACATTAGAGTAGTACTGCTGCCACCATTTTTATTAGAAGGGGAAAAATAGGTAGGGGTGGCCAATGATTGGCTAAGGGTGGCCATGGCCACCCCTGGCCCCCCATCTAGCTCCGCCTATGAATATAACACGGACAGATTGTTTAATTAGAAACGTAAAAAAAAAAATCTAAATGTTCTACAAAATTGTAAATTTAGGCAGTTTTCTGATAAGAAACTCCAAATGTTTTAAAAAAAATAAAGCTCCAAACCACTGACCCAAAAGGATCAACATGGAAACTATTTTGTTTTAATAACAGAAAAGCTATTTCTTGCTGTCAAAGGTTGTATTGCTTTGTTTTCGTTCACTAAACACTCTCAGTGTGACCGTGCGACCTGATGCTGAAGCTGCTGACGCGCAGCTGTCAGAGCCTCTCTCCTCCAATCAGCGGGCCCTCTCCCTCTGTCGTCCGATGCTCCGATCACTCTGGCTTGTTTTCATCATTTCCCATCCAGCGCCTCTGTGCTTCAGTCGGAGGAAGCAGACCAGCAACAGGGGCATCCTAGGAGATCATAATGGACGCTCCTGGATCCCATCACTGATCGATGCGTTTCCCTCTGCGCGGATGCTGCAGACAGGAGCGGCTTTGTCAGAGGACAGAGGAGCCTTGCATCCTGTCTCTCCTTTAAATAGACAGCGTCACATGCCGCTGGGAAGCGCTTTATCCTTTCAGATAAGATGTGTTTTGGTGAATGCCGCAGCCTGCAGGATTTGGAGCAGCACTGGAGAGCAGCATGCCCACACAGGAGGATTTATAAAGCTTCTGGGCCATTTTCTCTTCAATCATCACTGTAAAGGTAAACACATTTTCTTATTGGAAAACTGCCTACGTGTTCCATTGATTTCATAATTGAAGAGCAAGGGCGTCCCTAGAAAGTTTCTAAAGGGAGCCAGATAGGATGGGGGGACTTGTATCACAGTGGTAGACAAAAACTTTAGCATAATTTAGAGATATTTCCGGATTGATTGATTGATTGATTGCCTGATTGATTGATCAATTGACTTTATAATTCTCACATTGGAGAAATGTACTCATTACATCAGCTCAAATTGTCAAAAAGAAGAAGATACCAAAGGAAGAAAAGGTGCATGGGGGTATATACAGTATGTACAGTCATATATATATATATATATATATATATA